AGATTATGAAAGATTTATCAGCTAAAAGGCTATGAAATTAAAAATTTGAAATAATGCATAAAACAAATCTGTGTTTATGTATCTTTGATATATGAGTTTAACACTTACTGAAATAAATGTACTTTTTGATGACATTATACTGTACTGAGATCCACCCGTACTTTACAGCTGAGTATACAGTACAGTAGACTGATGCGACTTACGTAGGTAGATTACATGTTGACTACAGTAAATGAGCTTTACATTCCACTTCTGTAAGAAGATCCCAGGACTTAGCGGAGTGCCTTTAACCTGGAATGACCTTTCTTAAGTCCTCTCCCACGCAAACATCACAAGGTTCCCCAAGAGCTTTATTTGCGGGGATGGAGAGACCAACAACTTAAAAAAGGCAGAGAGGAGTTCCCAAAACTATAGTCCAGATCTGGGTTTTCAGTCTCTCACACAGTGCAGCACAACATCCTAAGCAAGGGGTTGGCTTTTATTATTCGTCATAATTCTCTTGGGGTTGTTTTTAAGTTTTTATCTGGGAGTCTTACATGGGTGTTTAGTGTGTGTCCAGGAGAGATGAAGCTTTCTTTTACTCCATCGTCCTCTTTTTCTGCACATCCTCTGCTCAGGGTTTCTTGTCTATAGTGTGAAAGAACCACTCTGTAAACTTCCTGAGCTGAGCCGCTGCCGTCTGGCTCTCCTCCTGCAGCCGCATGTTGTCCTGTCTCAGGTGCTGCACCTCCTCCTGCAACATGGCCTTATCCTCCTTCTCCTGGACACAAAAAACAAAACATGGGAGAAATTAAGTAAATGGATACAAAAGAGCCGATAACAACCTCGCTATTAAAAGTACATCCGTCTTTCATCGACACGGTGTAAATGACAAGCGTAAAAGTAGCCAGACAGCCTTTTCCTCTGCCCTGACAGAGGTGTATTTCCTCAGCCCTTTTAAAAGCACTCTGCTAGAAACGGGGAAACACGGGGCTGGGACACAATAAGGAACGGAAGCAGGATATCAAATTAAGTGGATGAGTATGTATTACGCAGACCTCAGGGCATCCATTACTCAATGTCAGGCTGAGTGGCACAGACATATGTTTGCTAGTACAAAAAAATAGAATTAATAAGGGAGATTTTAATGATACATGCAAACTTGCCTTTCTGAGGTCTTGCTGCAGCTGCCTGAGGATGACCTCCAGCTGGTTAACTTTGCCAGTTAGCGTGGACGGAGAGCTGCTGTTGGTTTAAACAAAAAACAAACACTGTTAATATACCAAAAACATGGAGTTCAATTCAAACACCTGCATCTGTAACAGAAAGTCAGTTAACTTCAGCTTGTCTTTTTGGAGTCATTTCTTTTTAATTTTGACAATATTGTAGATTTTGAGTTTCTTTCTAAGGATAAAGTCCAAATGTTAAATTTATGATCATTAATGCTAAATATGTTAAAGGTATGAAACAAATAAAAACAATATTGCTTTCTGATTATTTTAATGCATGTTTAAAATGTTGTGCAAAAACAACAACAACATTGGGGACAAAACCTCCTAAAATCATACTTTTATTAGCAAATATGGACCTATGTAAAAAAGTATAAAATGCTATTGTTTTAAATACAGCTGTGGTTACTTGTTTGGAACACGATAAAGAACAGAATCAGCAATTATTATTACTACAAGTACGTTACGCAACCACTCAATGGCTCGACTGTGCACAGTTTTATTAAAACAATTGTTGATTGAAATGAATATGGTTGCCCACATATCCATCAACGTCTGCCTGAGTGCTACCAGAATTTTTAGGTTTTTGTCACACTTTGTATTCATCGCTCTGGCAAACAATAAAAGGCCAACTGGACTTGCCATAGAGTGCTCATAAATCCCTGGGGAGGGTGCAGATCCTTTATTCAAACTAATGACTCATGACTTCCTCCTCCTCACAGAACCATATAAATCTTAGTATTACGAGCTCCCGCTGGAGCCAGGAGAGTTTGCAATGACAATTTCTACTTTGGTGGCCATTGCATAATTCATTAATGCCATGCCAAAACATTGTCACTATTCAGAATATTCCATCTGCTTGCTTTATTTTATACTTTAGTATCTATTTTGGGAGTTAAAAGCACAAAAGTATAATTTTAATACAAAAGTTCAAAGACAACATAAAAGGGAAAAATGCAACAGTAGATTAAGATGCCAGTAGAACCGTTTCCTTATGTTATCCATTAGAATTAAAAGGTTATTTTAATTTCGCTACTTTATTAGAGGGTTGTGATTCAATAGTAATTTGATGGCTGCTAAGCTGAAGTATAATCAATCTACACTTCCTAAAGGAGTTTCTGTGTTTGTGATTTTGGGCTGTAAATAATGCCTACTCTGCTTCCAGCGCTGCTCCCTCCGCCTCCACCACCCGTCTGGTCAGCTCTCTGGAGATCTGCAGAGCCTCGACCCGCTGCATGTCTGTCATGGTGCAGAAAGACGCCACACGCTGGTCTGGAAGCAGAACAGGTGATGCAACAGGTCACATAATCAGGCTTCAAAATCAGAGCAGGTGAATATTATCTCAGTGTAGCAGATAGCTAAAGCACATCTAGCTTAACTTGAACTCGTGTTCCTTACAGGATGGGTGATTCATTAATGGTTCTAATGCATGACGCTCATTGTTGGAAAGCCATCTTATTGAAATCTAGATAAAGAGGACCGAGATGGTAACATGATTTTTCTAGAAAATAACAGACATGGATAGACTCTGTGGGTACTTCAGGTTTCTGAACCCTCGACTTTCTTCTGACAGCTGTTTGGCTCACACTGTAAAGCTGTAAGACACTAGTCATGCTTGTTTTACCATATCAGGCCCTTAAGCTTCGCCAAAGCCGCATGGAAAACCCAAACTTGGCATAGTGCGCTCTGGGATTTCTCAGTTTTAAGGCTTAAGGCTCTGTTCTGTACAAACCAATCCTTCTCCAGCCGTTGGTCTAAGACCCAAGATAGAAAAATCTGCATATTCATAATTTAAGTAAGCATTTCCATTAATTTAGCCAACAACTGAAAGCTAATCCACTCCAAGACAAAAGTTGAATGAGGACGGAGCTGGTTGGCAAAAAGAAGAGGGACCAGGCCTTAATTTACATATGAATGAATTCCTTCCTCATATTCCATGTCTGCATCAGAAAGATTAGCGTCTTCTCAGGCAGCAAACATGCCGCCTGTCATTTGGGGTTCAGGCTACATCCAGATTTAGTGGACATCCTGAACAGAAAAAGTTATAATTGTGAAGGCTCATGTTTATTTGTAGGAGAATATCTGAAAGGCATCATATTTGGATCATATTTGGATGGAGCATTTAGTGCTGAGAATTGCCATATTTCCTTCTATTAGAGGTCCAACCCTGAAGAAATTTTCACGCTTACAATAGATAGAGAATAGAATTCTATGGTAACTGATCAATTACTGCATTATTATTCCACGAGGATAATATTTAAAGTGCAACCAAAACCAGAGAGATATCTCAGTGGTTCATTAAGTAGCATACCGGTAATTGCACTGCTACTCTGATGATACCCAATTTTTTTGATTCACCATTTGTGATTTTTCCTATTTTTTTCTTTTTTTAAGTTAAATCTGAAAAACTCACACGAAGAGAAAAGACCATTAGGAGAAATTTATTGATACAACTACTTTGTCTTTGGCGCTCAGACCTCGGCAGGAAACATAGAGCTTAATTTTGATGGATATGCATGAACAGGAGTAAAGAACAGGGCTGTTTCCTCCCCAGGCCTGAAACTGGTGGTGGAATAGAGATAGATGAAGTTGGTCAGTCTGTAGACTGCTGGTTAGCGAGACGGTATGCTGAGCTTTATGGAGAGATCCATTGGATTGCGTGAGCTGATGCTAGAGCTTCACTCAGGGACCTGGAAGATGGAAGTCCAGTTGGATAACACAGGTTGAGAGAACCTGTCCATGATGAGCAAACATGGAGTGACAGTGGAGAGGAGAAACTCCATGTTGGGAAGAAACATCTGGCAGAACCAGGCTCAACATGGCGGTCTTCTGCTGGACCAGTTAAGATGAGACAGGGAACACAGTAAGAGTCAGGGAGGAATGACGCTCTGATGAGGTTTTGGTTCGGTTGTTGGGGGGGGGGTTGGGGTTGGTTTGAACCGTTTTCCCTTGATTGAGTTCCCCCGGGGCTTTTGCGGTTTTGGCCCAGAGCACACAAGTGCATATTGGAGGCCTTTTAAGATGAACTTTGGATGCTGATTGGCTTTCGTGGAGGCGTGGTTCGAAGGTGATTGGCTGTGTCGCAGGTGGATGTAGGAAAGCAATGAGTTTCTTCAGTGGAACTTCCGCCTAGGCTCCATTTTAAATCTTTGATTCCTAAATTGCAAATGTTACTTTCTAACAAATGCCAAACCTATAATTTGTTTTACAACAATGGTAATGATTTAATGGCTTCATTTGTAACTTCAGGAATGTTTGGACTGTAAATATAAAAATTAAACAAATGAATTTACTACAGCTATGAGGCATTTGATTCGGTGGTTTCATGTTTTGTGAAGTATTAGCTTTTGGGGTGTAATCATACCAGTAAAGTTCCCTGGTCCAAAAGCGGACTTCATTATTGCTTTGCATTTTTCGTACCATTATTACAGCAGCAAAGTCATCACAAGTGTCAATAGCAGCTCATTCAATACTGATTTTAATGTCAGAGAATGTGTCACGCAAAAAAAAAGATACCCACATGCTTATAGCGGAGTTGCTAGGCAACAGAGGACAGATCAAGTATGATTTCAACAATGCGTTCTCTACTATGTTGGGTTGCTTAGCCCATAGAAACATACAGTATGGTTTCTGGCGTCGGGTCAGATGGATGCAGCTTTGTATTCAGACCTGAAGCGAATCGCACCAGTGTCTGTCTGGAGGTGGAACGAAACCACCTCACAAAAGTTGATCTAGATCAAATTGTTTGGATTGGACCCTGGTTTACTGACGTTTATTGAAATCTGCAGAAACATTCCAGACCAAGGCAGCTAACGACCTCTGATCTGTTTAAGGTGGACCAAATATGGCAGGTGGGAATACACCCTTAAAGGACTACCTACACTTGAGGCAACTTTTTTTTGCTTATCAACTGTATAAATATATGTCTGATAGTGATGTCTACACGTCTCAGGCATTATTTCAACAATTTATTACACAGTTGTTGAAATCCAGCTTTTGTGTCTACAACTGCTTGTTTGGTGCCCTCCTCAGGTTAAACGGGGGTTACTGCATAAATCTTTGCTATTGGCTTAACCAGTAATGCGACGTAATTTCAGAGAACTGAAGACAGCAACTCTACCCTGGGCAGCTGCGGTTTCCTGAGGGACTGGCAATACATTAAATAATGATAAAGACAATCTTTGGTCATGTGGCATCCAAAGCTGAGCATGCATAAAATTGAGATGTTTTGACATTTTAGAATAATTTGACAATTTTTGGAGAATTACAGCCTTTTAGTGAACCATTAAAATTTTGTGGTAATGTTACCCAAAAAGCTATGAGGCACTGTGATTACAGTCATCATTGACAGAAATTGTACAGTTAATGTACAAAAGGTCAGAGCATGTTGGACATTCATCAAAAGAAAGATGAATGCAGGGCAGGGGGATATTGGACTCCTCTCATAACTGCTTGAGGTTTTATTATTTCAGTAAGCTATCAATTTAAAGACTATACAAGAGCAGTATTCTTAATTGCTGAGACTACAGGTTTGTTTATGACCAGTTTTTTTCAACATAAAAAGGAGAATAACGTTTCGCACAATCAAAATTAGGATTTCTTTTTATCCTGACCGACTGCTTTTCTGTTTTCTCTCCACGTTGCTGCTTAAATATATGAGAAGGATGCTCCAATTTACAATGACTGCCATGACAAGCGGCGTACTGCTGTCAGTCAGACTCTTCATCATCTCTGCTGAACTCCCCTTTGCCCCTCGTACCCTCGGTATATAATGGACTTTAGGCTTTGAAGCCGGAAACAAACCAAAGGCTAAACTCTAAACTGACAAAAAAAGTGAACACAAGCTGTTTGCTTACGGGTTGGGGTCAGGTAGAGTTCAACTTGAGTAAAAAAAAAAAAATCTCATGTGATGCTAGCCGGGAAGATGAAATGAAAGAACATGACAGTTAAGTCTAAATTAAGCATAATAATGCTAATAAATAATAAACAGATGATGCTGCACAGGATGTTGTAAAAAAAAATGTAACTCAAAAAGATCTTCTACACACAGAGTGATATAATTCAACCATTTTCTGCTATTTGGATACTTATGTTTTACAGCTGATGAAAAACCAAGAGTCAAGTTAGCTTAGAAAAAAGAATATCACATCACATCTAAAAAACAGATTAACACAAATATGTGGGACTCCTTAAAAAAATGCGTTAATTAAACATGCGGGATGTGCACTCAATAGTAGAAGCTGGTATAATACTTTTGCATAATATATATATATATATATATATATATATATATATATATATATATATATATATATATATATATATATATATAAAAAAAACATTATTGTAGCAAAAGCATAGAGACGATTAGCCTGCGTTTCTGCCTTGGAGTTGGGGTAGCCACTTTGTCCCTTATCATCTTGAAAATAAACCATATAATCTACAGTATATGGTATTTTGGACAGGCGGTTATGCTAGCACAGTGATATAAACAGTGAAGATGTTGGTATTTTTGGCAGTGTGAGCAGCTGCCCAATCCTGCTGGAAATAAAGAATGCTTACTCTATTTCACAGTAGACATTTATCTTAACTTTGGAGTTGCGGAAACCTGAACATTGAGCATAATTATTGAAGCTGCTCCTTAGGTTGCTTTACAACTAGCGAAAATAAATGCAACGGGCTGGGATCACCCCTGTTGCCTTTATTCATCAGAGTTTTTCTTTTTATTTAACTTTCCAATAATACATCTAGATAAAGCACAGAACAGACAGCTAACTTATCAATTAATTTTATTGGCTGACTCTAGTTATAGAGGACATCAATGAACAACTAGAATAGAATTCAACTTTATTCTCATTACATTGTCACAGGTACGAAGCAACAAATTCACTCTCTGCATTTAACCATTTGGGAGCAGTGGGCTGCCATTGTGCGGCGCTCGGGGAGAAGTATGGGGTAAAGGGTCTTGTTCAGGGCGCCAGTTCAGGTTTGAACTCAGAACCTCCTGCATGAAATATCTCCTTTCTTGTTTCCTGTAAAATTTTAATGACCTGTAACTTAATTTGTGGTTTTCATTAGCTCCAAGTAATTATCACCAATATTAAAAGAGATCCAATAAGGAAAAATGTCTGGCAGCATGTAATGAAAAAATGTGTAGGTGTTTTTTTTTTTATCATAAGAACAAAATGACTATTCTTGATATTCTACCATTTTAGGATCCCGACAAAAATCTTTATAGGAAAAGGAACCAGAGTAAATATTTTGCCTGAGTGCTAACTTGCTGGTTTTATGGTGTGAAAATTGGATCCATCTCTGATCTTTTTTTCCTTTTAGATAACTATGCCTGATGGGAGCCACAAAAACAGGCTTGGAGCAGAGCTGCAAAAAGCCGAGAGATTCCCAATAGCCCCATTCAGTAGCACTTAGGACAAGGTAGTAGAGACAAAAACGCACAGCTTACAAAGATCTAATGCATGCAAGCGAGCGCCCACTTGCAGGTTATAGACACACAAACACATACTGCTCAAAGCAGCAAGGAGGTGGGGCTGGGAGGAAGGGGGGGAGGTTTTAGACAAGGTGCCAGCAGCTCTAGCCAAGCTGGTTACCTTCAAAGGCTCGTGCTGCATCAACCAGGTGAGACCAGTCCAGGCCTGAGGCAGTGTCTGGGAGGGGCATGAGGCCCGGGTCGCTGAACTTGGACCTATCCGCCAAGGAGCCGTCAGAGAACCAAAACTCACCTGCAGAGACAGGCAGGTATTGTGTTGAGTGTCTGAGCCCAGCCTGAGTTCAGGGCTAATCTTTGACTTCAGACAAAGGAGCTGGGGAGGAATGAGAGAGGGGCATCGAAGGGGGAAAGGGGGGACCTCATGTTAACTATTCGTTACTGCTAAAAAAAGGAAGGACATTTATGTAACTTTAGCTGCACTTATCAAACCCCCCTGGCTGGATCAACTCAAAAAATCTCTAAAAGGATGCCAAGACTCACTCTTAAAGAAAGGTTTTGCATGAGTGTGACAGGCTCAAGTCACATTAAACCAACTTCTCTGGAAATCACGAGAGAGGCACAGTTTGAGGGGGCGATAAATGACTTGTCTCAGAGAATATCTTTCTGTTTCCATCAATTTCTCCTTTCACTTCCCTCTGCATCTTAACCCTGAACGACTCAGAATCCAACTAACACACTCCCGTTCAGTGAAGAGGCGTTTAGAAAAGCCCGAGCAAGGAAGAGGAAGAAAGCTTGAGGTGACATTCTCTTTTCAATTTACCAAGCTTCTTGGAGCTTGAGTGATCCGCTGTTTACCAAATTGGGCTGTCTCAGCAAAGGANGAAGAGACAGAAAGCTTGAGGTGACATTCTCTTTTCAATTTACCAAGCTTCTTGGAGCTTGAGTGATCCGCTGTTTACCAAATTGGGCTGTCTCAGCAAAGGAAAAAGAGAAAGCGTGTGTTCTCAACTATCTTTCAAAACAATCAGAGAGCCATCAGGTTGACAGCCAAAACAAGATGGAGAGAAAAAAAAACATCTTTCCAAAGCACATTTTCTCTCTAATGGCGGCAGCAAGGGACAGGTGAGGAGCGCTATGGAAATGAGGCCGGAGGGACAGAGAGGGTAGGCAAGGATGGGGATGATGAGTGAATGAAACATAATGGATGACAGAAACCGTGAAACCAAAGTGGAAGAACCGGCACATTCCCTCAAGAGATGTTAAAAACCTACAGCGGCTCAGACGGGACACACATCACCTCTTATTTATTTTTATGTAGTCAGATAATCCCATGTTAAAGAGTCGGGAAAGGAAAGTCCAACTGTTGAGAGGAAGCTTAAAGGTAGATGCATGCGAGTATAACGCAGCCACACACATTTTCAGTTTGTTTGCTATATTGGAAAGCGTTGCTGAAACGTATTTTGTTGTGCTAATGATATCAGTGGGGCACAAGTGGCTCTTCCAGCAAGTAACTATATCCAGGCTCTTATCTGGTGCCAGAAGGAGGAAAGATAATCACAGGGCAACATGATGAGAAAGTGTTATTAGCCTTAGCCTTCTGTCTTGGTGAAAAGTTTTGAGTTTTTTATTATTTCAAAAACAGCTTCTCTTTGGTGTTTATTATTGCACAGCTTATCTAACTCCAGGAGTTTCAACTATCATTCTCCAAACTTAGTAAAAGTATATTATCCTTAAAGTTTTCCACAGTCTTCTGTTAAAAACACAAATATTAGTGTTCTTATATTTCCACTTCTATGAACATTTATTCATCCTGTCTTTATGTTATGTTATATCCACACACAGCACTTTGCAAATCCCTCACTTGTTTATATTCGGTTTTTAGCCACATGTAATATTTCTTACCATGGCCATCATGATATAATCTAACCAGTGCAACTTTATACCCTGGTTTTCAGTGTAGACTGCATGGTTTCTTGTCTGGTATTATAGCACTCAGAATTGATTTCCCTGTAATTGTTTTTGGTTTGACAATAGTTCCTTTATGCCACTTGGTGCTAAGAGTAAAACGATTGGCTATTGATAACTTCTCCACAGTCATCCTGGGCCTCTGAGTGGCTTTCTGGTAGGCTTTAAAGGCCTTTGTCTTTCCAGTTTGCATGAAGAATTGAGCACAGCTCTATGTGATTCTATGTATATTCTAACAAAATCTTTACACAACTTCCTTCATGATTTGTCGGCGAACTTCCTTGGTCTTCATGATGCAATTTATCCATGAATCATCTGAGGCCTTCAAAAAGTATTTGGAGTCATACTTGGGTGAAATTACATGGAGGTGGACTCCATTGACTACCGTAATTTTCGGACTATAAGCGACAACTTTTTCCCCATTTTTTTGACCTTGTGGCTTGTATAACAAGGCGGCTTATCTACGGACTTTTACAGCTAACGGCCACTAGGGCAATACCTAAATCCATGGATTTTACCATCTACCATGTTGTCGTCACATTTGCTTCGATACACAAGTACGGTAGCCGCACGCGGGGGAATGCGGAGGTCCTCTGGAAGCAGATTTCTACCGCGAGTGGTACGAGACAGAACGACAGCGAGAAAGACGGACATTAAACATAAAAAACCTGCGGCTTATAGTCCGGTGCGGCTTGTATCTGTACAAATCATGCAATTTAGCTTCTGTGGCTTATATTCAGGTGCGGCTAATAGTCCGAAAATTACGGTAATACAGTGACTTTAAGAGGCAGTAAATTGAACTAAATACAAATGAAGGCCACACTTATGGATCTGCTTTGGTTAGAACCCACTAAATACTCTACAGTTTGTAGTTGTAATATGGAAAAAGGTTTCTGTATTCTACTCACTGCGCAAGTTGGACCCTCCTTGGTTGTGGACCATGCGGGGAGGCAGTGTACTGTGGTAAGGTGGCGTGGTGCTGAACAGGATGTCGTTGGGCATGGCTTGATCGATCATAGAGCTGTGTGAGCTGGCGTAGGACGAGGCCTTCCGGTTGCTACACACGCTCTCGTCTGACAGTGTCCGGTATAGTGAGCGTCTTGGTGACAAACTGTCTGGTGCTAACACCTGCAGAATAATGAGAGGAATTAATCAGTTTACTTGTAAACTATAAGAAAAAAAGTTCTGCCCCCCTTTGAATGCACTGTTTCTATTCTTTTTTTAAGGCACAGCATGTTTACATAAGAGTCGGTTGGGTGGCTAAGGCAGTGACATCAGGGAGCTGTGTCAGGAATCAATTACAGCCTTTGCTCTGAAGAAAATGTAACTGATTGAGCACAGCTGGAGGTGTCTGACAGAGTGGGAAACACAGGGGACAGGCTGGTGGAGGTGGTGACAGAGGTCACTCCCCTGTGGCAACTAGTGATCACTGAGCTTATATGAGAATCAACAGACAACAGAAAAGAAATATTATACAAGTTAATGGGGAATAATACAATATAATAGGGTAAAAAAATAAGTCTGATATTTATTTTTGTTTCATAAACAGGTGATTGAGCTCTAAAGCAAAGCCTGATTGCACACACAGTATTTAATCTATAGATTTATGGCAAGTATGCTCTATAACCTGCTGATCAGAATAATAAAGGAGAAAATATACCACATAAAAGCCTGATACAACCAGCATATAGCAGCACTCTGTTCAATGGGTAAACAACAGGGGGCTTAATGACTTTTAGGTAAATGGAAATGGACCTGTGATTCTATTAAAGACTGAACACGCTCCTCTCTGCATACAGTGGGTTGAGGTGAAGAGTTTTGACAGCATAAAGTTCCTGGGCATTCATATGTTCTCTGACCTGTCCCAGACTGAGAACACCTCCCACCCTGTGAAAAAGGCCCAATAACGATTCTTCTCTTCTGAGGAAGTTCAAACGAACTGATCTCTCTAGATCACAGGATGCTTTCAGTCAGAACTGAAAGCATCCTGTGTTAGTGTGACATTGTGGTATTGGAGCTGCACAATCAATTAGAGGATGGACTCAGCATGGTTTGGTAGGCTGCAAGTTTTCAGACTCATCCGTCCCAGTAGTGCAATGTTCATCCCATTTCTATCAAGGAAAGCCATTCGGAAACATTGCATCCAAACCCGACTCAGGAACAGTTTCTATCCCAAAGCTGTAAAGCCAATCGTTCCCCTGCAGGCAGACACTAAACACCCCGACTGAAAATCAAAGAACCTCCTTCCCATTTCATGGATTGTTTCAGCATAAGCTGCACTTTATGTAAATACTAAATTCTTAGTAAACGTGTTCTTGTTTTTACATAACTCTCCTCTAATGATTCTTTTTCTTTAATTGTTGTGACTTGCCTGTGTATCACGTGCATTTTGAGCTGACATTTTAGATGCTTCATTATGGGGGTATACTGACAATAAGGTGCCTTGATTCTTAATATGGTTCCTTAACTGTTGGACAAACCATAGTAATAAAGAAGAATCTATTGTCAAACAATTGATATAGAGAAAATTCAGCAGATGGACTTTATTCGATTTTAAGATTCTCTCAGAGGTAGAACCAAATACTAAATACAAACAATGATAGTTATGATCAGAAGCAAAATAAGGTCTAACGGTAATTTCTTCTTTAGTGTTTCAGGGAAACATTTGAGGCCTTAAAATGTTTCCCTTTAGGTTTAGCCTAGTTTCTACAAAATGTTTTTAGTTTGAAATTGAAGGAAACGCTGCCCACTTTGAACCCCTTAGAGCAGGAGCTTCAATACAATGCCCATTCATCTAGTTGTTGTTTTTGTTTGTTTCTCTGTTTCCTTTTCTTATGCTATTATTTCTATAACTAAATCCTTTGCCAGGTTAAAATTCTATGCAGTGCATTAGTTTTTATGTTTTGTGAGAATTTAGGCCTCATTTTATCATCATATTAGAAACAATTATCCCGATATTTACACCAACCACTATTGCTTGATGATTATTGTTTACTTTTGGCTCCATGTGCTACGATTTTGGACTTTTTGCTTCACAATGGAGATTAGGATAATCTTTGATCACACAAGAAAGATAACAGTGTGTTATGTAGAATCTGTAGTAGCAACAGCTGAGGAGGCAGTCAGCTGACTGAGCTGACCCACTGAGGATGCATGGAATGTGATGCAGGAGCTGACCTGAATGCTACTATGCCACCACTTGAGTTTTCATGCACCTTTTTTTTTTATCTTTTGGATAACAGAATAGGTAAATTACAGCAGCATGTGTTTATATCTGCTGCTGTGTTTTTAAGCTTCTTCATAACAGCATCTGAATCTAGCAAGGAGTGCAGCTTAACATAGAGTAGAATTAAAAATAGCGCTCACAGCAGGGACATTTAAGGCAGCTAGCTCCTTGGGATGATGGAACATTGGGTCTGCTAGGAAACATACATCCTGATATTGCAGTGAATATCTGCAATATCAGAATTTCCTCTCTTCAAGGAGTCAAAATGTTTGCTTTTGTAAGCCAGTTGATTGTTTCCATTGTTTAGTACTAAACCTTTGCATTTTTGGTACCCATCTGTTGACCATTACTGTATATATATATATATATATATATATATATATATATATATATATATATATATTAAATAAAAAAAAGATTCTGATGAACCTTAGGGAGATCTCTGCAAACTAAGGTTACAGGTTTTTGCCATATAAGACTGATTGCTAAAACTTAATAAAGATATTGTTAAAAAAAAAAAAAGTATAAGCTTAGGTTTTCTTTAAGATAATTTATTTGAAATATATTTGTTTTTCAGTTATATCATGCCAGATATAAAGAGGAAAGGGTCTTAAATCATTCTTCCTATCATATTTTTCTTACACTCTTTTGTTTATATGTATAGTACATTTAAAGGTAGAAACAACCTCATCCTCCTCTAGATAAGTGATACACAACTTTCTTTGAATTTAGATATATATTTTATGTATTTGAAAGAAAGATATATTCAATGTTACTTCTTGTTTTAAAATGATGCACTCAAGAAGATTGAATTTAGTCAGAACTGAATTATCAAGTGGAAATAAGTCTGATGAAACCTCTGGATGTGCTGATGTATCCTGCATCTATCCAGTCTGTTCCGGAGAACAAGCCCTCGGGTAAGCTATACATTTATCTCTGAGTATGATGGTGTAAACACATAAGGAGGTGCTTCAGATTAGCCATTACAGCCAACAGTATATGGCTCTACATCATGGTCAATTAGAATGCTGACGTTATCCCAAGATATCGATCTATGCATCTTTGATTATTTAAATGCTTTTTTCTGAGGTCGACTTTTATTGCTATTCAAATGTATAGAACCTAATGGGTGCAACAGAAAGTTAAACGATGTGCTAGCAGCTCAACCACTGTTTTCACAGACAATTGCATTTGAAAAACTTTGCAGTTAGTGGTTTGTTGATAAAAGCAGCAGGCCTGCAGTTCCACTTAGCACAAAAATCCACACGTACAGGCATAAAACATGCTGCTACAAAGGTCAAGATGAAGATATATAAGCTCTTTATCGGTTGAGAAAATTAGCAGCATTACAACTTACACAGGATACCACAGCAGAGAGGCTAGTGTTTCATGACTGTGGTCTGAGTTGTTATAGAGGATCTCCTGTTTAAACACACAGAACCACAAAGACCAACCCCATCCATCACTGTCCCATTTAGTTTACATAAATACAGAAGGAGTGACATCAAAAGCAGCCACAAATGATACACGAAGCAGCTGCACAGATGAGTAAATATCTGCTTTTTGCTTCCCAGCTGTAACCCACAGTACACTGCTATCTCCACAAACCAACACCCTTCCATCTCCATTTCAAAGACAGATCCCCCACAAATCCCACTGTGAGAATTTAACCAACATTCAGTGTGTCTTTAAAGCAGAGATACGTTTATGCCTCCTTTGACCTAACACGCTTTTCTCATATTGAAAGTTTGAAAGATAAAGCCCCATGGGATTATCACATCAGAGCAACTCTAAACTGAGTTTTTTTTTTCTCTTATGACAAAGCAGAAGGCAGCATAAAATTAGAGCCTCGATATATAGGAGCCATTTTAAAAAGCCCCAGTATAGCCTACATATGTCACTGCTTAAAAATAGTAGAGGAAACTATCAAATTCTGTAACAATTTTAAGACTAAAAAGTTTTACTTTGGGGCATTTTATGTGATAAAACAACATAAATTAGAGTTTATCCCAAAGATAATAAGACAATAATACATGCTTTTACAGTATTTTCTAAAATATGCAGCACATTTGTACATCTTCATGGTGGCGGGCAGATGTTGCCTTGCAACAAGAAGGTTGCAGGTTCAATTCCCGGCCCAGGGTCTTTCTGCATGGAGTTTGCATGTTCTCCCAGTGCATGCCTGGGTTATCTAGGGGTACTCCAGCTTCCTCCCACACTCCAAAAACATGACCTTTAGGATTATTATCTAAATATACACCTAAACCTTAGGTGTGAGAGTGTGTATGCATAGTTGTGTGCCTTCGTGTGCAGGGGCGGGATTAGGAATTTTGGGGCTCTAGGCAAAGACAGGCAGGGGGCCCTCTGAATTAAGAAGACAACACATAAAACAGACCCATTATACAGATACAGAAATTTTAATATAATAGACATACATTATTTGTTCTACGTTTTGTCCCTTTTCTTGTTTTCCTGTTTTGTACTCAGCTGACTTTTCATGTCGTTTCAAAAGGAATGAAACTAAGCTTGCTTAACCGATTGCTCCTTCCTGTGTTTCCAAAAAGGCAACGGCAAAAGTAAATAACCCAGTCCTTCTTTTCACTGTAGAGAAGCCATGATCTGCTTATCTGTTCTCCATTTTTCATTTGGATGAAATAATAGCTGCATGAATCATGACANATCAAATTCTGTAACAAAAAAGTTTTACTTTGGGGCATTTTATGTGATAAAACAACATAAATTAGAGTTTATCCCAAAGATAATAAGAAAATAATACATGCTTTTAAAGTATTTTCTAAAATATGCAGCATATTTGTACATCTTGAGTTAATAATTTCTATAACTTTGGGGTGTTTTTTTTATAACTTCATGGGGGACTTCATGGTGGCTGGTGGATGTTTCCTTGCAACAAAAAGTTTGCAGGTTCAATTCTCGGCCCAGGGTTTTTCTGCATGGAGTTTGCATGTTCTCCCAGTGCATGCCTGGGTTCTCTCCGGGTACTCCAGCTTCCTCCCACACTCCAAAAACATGACCTTTAGGATAATTATCTAAATACACACCTAAACCTTAGGTGTAAGAGTGTGTATGCATGGTTGTGTGCCTTTGTGTGTCTCTGTGTTGCTCTGCTACACGCTGGCGACCTGTCAAGGATCCACTCTGCCTCATTCCTAAAGCCTTCTGGAAATAGGCATCTGCCCCACTGCGACCCTGACAGAATTAGCGGGAGAAGATGAATTGATGGATGGATGAGAAGTGGTAATGAAAAACAGCTTTAAAGTCATTCCCCAAATTTTTTATTGATTTAGGCTTCAACTTTGAATGGACCATTCAAATACGTGTCTACGTTTGCCATGTTCCCTTGACTGATGTGTTTTTTTTTGTGACCTATCATTCATGGCTTCCATCTTTCTTAAAAAAAAAAAGACTAAATTTGTGTAGTGCACTACTAGAAGTCGTTCCCTTGACAGATTCTCAAACGCTGTTCTCTGCAGTTCATCCACTACAAGCTTCCAAAGCTTCCTTGTATAAACTGTCTTTGCAAGCCTGCCAGTTTAGTTCAACAACCATGTATTGGTACTCTTTACATTTTAGCAAAATGGACTAAACCGTACTGTGTGAGATGTCCTCAGATTGGAACATTGTATTTTATCCTCATATTTTAAAACTGCTCCCAACTTTTTCAATGATCCTACTTTTAGCATTAACATTTTTTTTCAAATAATGTATACTTTTCTTTCCACTTTCCAGTTATATAAACATAAAAAAAAGAAAAACTTAGGTCTATCAGATTAAAGTCAAATTAAATACCTAACAGTTTGTGAGTGCAACATAAAAAGTATGAAAGCACACAAATGCCTTTCAAGTGTAAATTTGTCAAATCTGAGAGATGATTAGTTAATAAAGTTGCATCAGTTTAAACTGGCACAGGCAGTAATGGGCTGCTAGATTTTTGCATTTCATTCTGCTGCACCTTTCTTATCAGTGCTGGCAGCTCTGACACGTCCACCGAGACTTCTTCCTGATTACCCTGACATAATTCCTTGCAGCTCATTCTGAACAAAGACAGCAACCAACACTGGCCCCTTTTGACGTGCCACTGGGGAGGATGTGTTGGACAACCACCTATTCAGATTATTTCCTTTTGTTTCCCACAGAAGGTTCAAGAGAAATATGTGTGAGACTAAGCATGTGAACGGCTTTTCCTTTACGTCAGCCACACAATAGTCTGTCTGTCCAATGCAGGGATGTCTGAGTAGACACTGTGACTGGCAAGGAAAGGCTCAGAGCACCTGCTCGCCCGCACAAAGTCTGGCAATATATGACTCTCAGAGGGCACCTTTGAGCTTTGCTGCATCTTTGCTTTAGTCACTTGGATGATTAAGTTAAGCTATATATGGTGTGAAATGATTAAACCTCGCTTCCAACACTGTGATTTTCATAATTCAGTCCCTTTATGGATCCACCATGCAGTGCAAGCTGTCAGCGGGGAGCAGTATGTCTCATTTGGGATCATATGCATGTCTACTAGGAAAGCTTGGCATCATGCCCTCATGATACTTTCCTCTTCTCAATTGTTTTTCCATCCTCTATGTTATCAGTGTGGAGAGGGTGACAACAACAAACAACCAGCTGGCCTTTGAATCAAACAATCAGCACTTGGCAGCATCCTCTGGGTCACTACCTGTTCTACTTCTCAGTGGGAAACTAAACACGTTCAAATCAAGGTGTGTGTTCCTCTCATTACTGAAACTTTGTTGATGCTGCCTGGTTCTTTTGGGAGTGTTTCACGTTATTGAACAGTGGTCCAAAGCAAATGATAACTGTAAACAAATCTGACCACTGAGCTGATTCATGTGAGACACAAAGCTTGCCTGCGCCAGAGAACATTGTTGGCTGGGATTTATATTAGAAATCACTGCCATCCAAAATGAAGCCATGCAGACGTCTCCAGGGTCTCATCCTGGTCAATAATGGATGGGGGTTGGAGGCAGCAGCCAGCAGGGAACTCAGGATACAATTAATAGTCCAGAGGGCACAAGAGCATCAAACATTTCTGCACTCTCTGCACCTTCCTGTCTTTAATACGTGATATCCAAACGTTGAAATCCGGGTCCCTTCTGGATTAGATCAACCTTATACTGGGGAAGTCAGGGGGCACACAGGGGCCGACACGGAGGAGGTCAATCAGCCGTGGAGCTCAGAAGCAGATTCAGCTGTTGGAGAGCTGATGTTTTCTCCCACTATAACCAGTAAGAACCTATCAGCTGTACTATGTGTTATACTTGTTGATTCTTAAAAAGACATTATAAAAAGGAGAATATTAAATGTCCTAAAATAGGAATAATATAGTATGTTGTCCTTCAGTTAAAAAAGGAAACCGATATGGATAACAAATAAATTAAGCACTTATTTCTGTTATTTTGATGATCGTGGTTTAAAGCTAAAGAAGCCCTCATATTTAAGCTTCCCAGATATGTAGAATTTTTATCCCATTAATAAATAAATTTCTTATATTCTGTTTCATTTTATCTTTTTGGTAGGATTACTTTAATGCTTGGACTGTACTCATTTTGAATTATTTACTGCATTGACTCAGGAGGATATGAAGGTCAATTCTGACATTCTGTTATAATAATAGTTTATGCTGGTTTTATGTAATATTATATATTATCTGAGAAACTGAGTTTTTAATTTTCAAGATCGGAATTATTTAAAAAATAATTAGACTTACAATATGTACAGTAACACTGTAAAACATATGAGTTTTGTTATACAGTAAATGAAAACCTCAATGTTAGTTTTTATAAAAAATAACAATATTATGAAAGAGGAATAAAAAATGATGCGAATGTTATTCTCAATACAATAAACGGGAAGACTACTGACTTGACAGTTAACGAACAGTCCGTCACTGACATCTTCTACAAGGATGGGATCCTACAAAAGGGGTTCTTGAAAGAAAATAAAATCATGTATATTTAGGCATATTGATGGAAAGTTGAGTAAAGGGAAAAAATGTGAATAGCAATTTTGCACAAGCAAGAAGAAATTAAAGCCTTGAAAGTTTTTAAATAAAAGCCCTTTAAGAGTTTGAGGGGATTCAGAAATCTAGGACTACCTCTGAAATTGGCGCTTAAGAAGACATATAGAGACACAGACAAGGCATAGACTACAACAGCTGTATCTCTCACACTAAGTCACTCCTGTTATAGAGAAAATGCCAAAATCAATGTATCTGGGGCTAAGGAAAAAAACAAAAAAAACTACCAAATAGCTGCTCGGTCCAAAGTCGTGCAAAAAAAAAAAAAAAAAAAACATAAATAAATATATAAAGAGACATTTCAAATTTTGTTAAGGTCCCAACAGAGTTACTGCTTGATGTTGAGTGTAATGTTTCCAGTCAGTGTTTTTTGGGATGCCGTGTCATTTGCTGGTGTTGGTCCACAGAGTTTTACCATCAACTATGGAGATTCCAGATTGTATTTGCGATAGGATTAAGCACCCAGCTACACTACAAACGGTACCATTGCCATGGTAACACTGTACACTATTTTTCACCAAATTCCAAAAGTCAGATAATCTACTGGGGATTGCCAAAGCAAAGAAGAGACGGAGACAAAACTATTCAGAACGTCTGAATGCTGCCAATAAACAACCTGACCTTCTTTAACACCTCAACAGAACCACAAACTGATTGCTTTGTGCAGTATTGATGCAGACATCCATGCAAAAGAACCAAGCACTGCACCATGTATGTGCAGTTCCCTGACTTTTTTATTTGGTTGACATTTCTATTTAATTCTGTACTTTTTCCAAAGTTCTTTAAATAAAAATAACTTAATATATAATGAATCAATGCATCTCCACTATATAAGCTTCACTTTCTGAATTGAATGATGTTAAACATGCTTCTCAATGATATTCAATTTTATTTAGATGCACTTTACATGCATAATACAGCAATTTATTCAGTCAGTCAGCTCAATGACCTCACCTTCCGACTCCTGTCCTCTCCTGGAGGGCTGTCGGGTAACAACATCTTACGAAATTCTTCCTTTGACAGCCTCTGCAGGGATTTCCCATCACGCTCTGCAGTCTGGAGCCGGCACGCTGCCTCCTGTGCATACAGCTGCCTGCAAATCATATAAAAGAAAGAAAAAAAAAGAACAGGTTTCAAACTGAAGGTTTCCAGCACCCCATCCTGCGAAGGAGGCCCAAGCTTCTTTTGAAATACCAGCTGAACAAAGAAAAGGGGGTCCAAGTGAAGGATTCATCCTGGCATGCCAACATCAAAACTCTCCATGCTAGTCAGTTACATATGGGGGAGCAGGGAAGGAGAGAAGCCAGGGAGAGGGGGGTTCATTTTCAGTACCACCTTGTCCAATAAGACTGTGCCAAAACCATGAATAAAGAGACTGCCACAACTACAGCCAAGCACTGTGAGGGGTAGGAAAAAAAACAAGCATTCTAAACAAAGACTATCCACAGACCAAAGGAGTGTCCAACACAACAACAACAAGGGACAACATTAAAGCTGTTGTGCAGGGATTGGAAGAGGATTCACAAGAGGTGACATGTTGTCTTGGAACTGGTTGTCAGCAGGTTTTGTTTGGAAACATCTAAATGATTCTGATTGTTAGAGTGTTGGGTGTTAAGAGAGGAGGGCACAAGGCACAGAGGATGTGAACAACCTGGCTGGGGAAGTTGTGTGGCTGTAAGAACTCTGCTCTAAATGAGCAGCCAGCACATGACAGCCTGAGTGCTGTGGACAGGGTGTTAGATAGCCGCAGGGATATTGCTTAGACGGCTAGATGATAGGACAGGCCGGCTGTGACCGCTACACAGAGATACTTTTTCTGCTCTTCTTTATGTACAGTTTCCTGCAATAGAATTTGTAACAGTCATGATATTCACATTTTTTTCACACGAAAACCAAAATCATTTAAATGATAGCCAAATGGCATAGCTTTTTTTCTACAAATGCATGTAATTTACTTTGGAGAATCACATTATTTTGCAATGCTGGTGAAGATTCTCAGTCATCCAGGTCATAGTCATTCCAAAAAAAGTTAAAAAACAATCCAATGGACTTTGGAAAACGTTTCACTTCCCGTCCAGGAAGCTTTTTCAATTAAAAATGTCAGAAGAAATGTAGAGGCTTTACAGAGCAGACCAAAAACAAAACCTTGTTTTGGCTTAAGAAACATGCAAATTTAACCGGACGAACGGGTACGCCTCTTAGGAATGGGCAGTAGTTTGGCTCCTTTGTTTGCCTGCAATACCCGATGCTGGTCTACGTCTCTGAAAATGGGGTGGTTAGGGGCAATTGTTGGGCAACAATCATCTGGTTCAATTTGCATGTTTTCTAAGCCAAAACAAGGCTTTGTTTTTGGTCCACTCGAACTCAATGCTATTTCTGACACTTTGAATTGAAAAAGCTTCCTGGAAGGAAGGCGAAACGTCTACAGTGGATAGTTTTTTTTGGCGGTTTTGGAATTTTAAGGTCGAGACTTTCAACTTCACACGTCCAGAGACTTCAATTTTTGCCTGCTTTTGGTTCCAATATAACTTAAGCTCAGTCAGATTGAATAGATTGGGAATAAACAGAAGATTTCAAGTCTTTTCCCTGATTTTATTTAGATTAAGGATACTTTGATGATGCCGTTTAAACCCAATAATACAGTTTCCCATGTTTGTTCTATAAATAACACCCCCACAACTGCCACTACCATGCTTTAGTGCAGTTATGGTGTCTCAACATGGCGGGGTTACTCCATATCTTTTCTGTGATCCCTACCATTTTTAAATAATTGTGGCCCTTTAAATGAATCACATGTCAAGCAGACCAGCACTTTAGAGCAATCATTTAATTTATGATGTTCTAGGACAGGAGAGGGTGGGTGGGTGTGGGGTGGCAGGCTGGGTCAAATTAGGGCCACTGGGTTTGACTATAACCGTGTACCTGGAGCGCTCAGACAGCATTTTGAGCAGGAAGGCTAACAAACTCTCCGCTCCTCTGAAACAAGAAGGAGAAGCAAGAAGGAAGCAGCCTGGGATTAGAAGCATGAAAACACATCCTGCATTTCATACAGTGTTAGGTCAAATGGGAAAACTTTGCACAGGGGGAAGAGAAACTTCATTAGGTTATAGCAATATCTGTGAGTAATATTAGGCCATTTATCATGAGACACTTATGTAAGAAGAAATAAAACGGCAGGAATATATAAACAAGCAATGGGGAGGCTAAATGAATTATGGAGCTTTTTCATAAGTCTGCAAAAGACGACTTCAGTGCGCGCGATCAATCATACAGCAAATTTCCCAGTCTCAATTTGATTACTTGGAAGCTGAAGCTGGGGTTTCTTTGAGGGCAGATCTCACTTTCGCTTTCCCAAAACATGCCCAGAGCTGTCTCTAACACCCTCAAACGACTACTTAAATACATCTAAAGCTCCCTGCAGCATGCCATTTAATTATTAGGAAGATCCTGTCAGTCATCCATCGCTATACAACATCTAAAGAGAAAGAGGACTTTCTGAACTTTTCCCGACGACACCTTACGTCTCTCTGCCTAGACGACACGTCTAGTAACAACAGTAGCTGTGGATGGTGTGACAGGTCATTGCTTGGCTCCCAACAGAGAGGCTGATCTGTCAGAGGCCCAGCAAACCCCATCCACAGGGACCTGACATCAAATGGATGATCAATAACGACATGTGACATGTGTCAAGTGTATTATGTCAGCAGAATCATCGAGCTTATTTATTTTGTGGTTGTCTGCCTCAATCGAGGACAGTTTATGAACTCTGGTCGGGTCAGACAATGGAGAGGGTCTGAAAGGAAACTGCTCCAACAGCGCAGCTCGCACCTGGTGCTAACAGGCAGAAATCATCAAAGCCAATGAGATTTAAACACCAAAGCTCTAACTTTGTACTGAACGTATCTCTTAGACCAGCTTCGCCAGTGTGTAATATTAAGATAAGGAAGTTTTCTTATTTTCACTGTGAATTTGCACATGCAGTAGGCAAGAGATGTATTAAAAAACATAACAATACCATAGTTCAATATCACATTGTTTAGGCTGTTGATTTGAAACACAAATGCAAAAATTTTACTATTTGCTTTTTTGTAACTCTCCAGCCTGTGTTTGTAGTTTTAAATCTCCTCCAGTAGGAGTGATTGTTTGAAATGCTTTAGTTTCTACACCATGCCTATTTCCTTTGAGTATAAATGAACACAGTTGTCTCCCTGTTGTGCAGCAAAAAGTGGAGTTGCTCCTCATTTTCTCTGGCATCCTACTGTAGGAGAATCACCTCCTACCTCAGCAATGCTATGATTGATAACTTTTATTTCATTAAAAATGTGACTGTGAAATCTGCATTTTAATTCCAGTAATCGTCTCAAGCACTAAAACAAGATCTGAAATTAACACCAAAACAGATTGTCTACAGACACCTATTAGATATTTTTTGTGGATGAAACAGTTAGGCTGGTGATTGCTCAGCCCAAAATGCAATCTTGGATCTTTAACCAATAAGCACATTTATCATACCTAAAAGCTAACAGGATGTATAAACAACAAGACTATTCAGTGTGGAATTAGAAAAATAAAAACTTAAAATGCTATTAAATATTAAACTGTGTTTTTTTGGCTATTATTTAAGGTGTTTTAAGAAGGAGTGGTCATTCCCCTCCTTCATTTTGTAGTTTTACTAGTTTGTAAGAGAATTTATGTCTACCTTGTTGAGATTATGTCTATTTAAATATTGGCAGCCTTATAAACTTTCAGACTAACGGTAAGGCTCTGAATGTTCTAGAGAATAAATGCAGGGATCGATGTCACTAATTCCATCCATGCTAATCAATAAAATACGATGCATAAAATAAAAAATGTGAAAATTAAATAATTTTATCCTTGTAATAAACAGTAGATTGACTAAAGTTCTTATTCCAAAGTCAGAATTTTTGAGCAGAAAGCAGAGGAAACGAATCGTCACGAATCCGAAGTCAGTCGGGGCTTCTCTAATCAAGCTGTGACCAAAAATGTTAAAAAAAACATTGCCTTCAAAGCCACTTTTAAAAGTAAGTTGTTTACCTTTTCAAAAACATAAAAACATATAAAGTGAGTAAAATTGAGTCAAAACAAATAAAACGAGTTGTTTTTGTGATGTCCTCATTTTTGTGATGATCTCATTCGTGGACTCTCGAGACCTTTCTCTGTCTCTCACTCACTCACCCACACTCTGATATGTTGGGAGGTCCCTCAGTGCAGTGGGCCACATCATCATCATCCCCATCAGCATTAGCTGTCTTCATGCTCACTGGGAGCTGGCAGCTGGACTGTGTGCGTGTCTGTCCACAGGCCTCGGAGCTGGGCCCCGGCTCTGGCCCTGTGCTGCTCGTCTGGGGGATGGTGAACACCTTGGAGGAGTCAGCGGACATACAGTACCTGGCACCGCGGGCAAGGGGACTGCCAGAGTGATGTGAGCCACTGATTAAACAGCAAAAATAAAAGCATAATGTAACTCAAGCATGAACAAAACAATAAATGGAAATTAAAAGCAACATAAATAATGATGATGATAATAATAAAACAGAAAGAAGCATTAGTGGCTGCTGGAAGCATGGCCAGGGCAGATGTACGGAAATGACCCCATTGAATGATTTCTTTTTGGCTGAGGATGTTCAGCATGACAATTGGCTAAGATGATATAATTCCTTCAAAAAAATAAAAATAAAAACTCACATCTACCTCCCCTTTAACCTACTTCACCAGATGAATCAGCCCCAGTCTGTTATGAGAGTATTCCTGCTGAACTTTGTTCTTTCAATATTTCATCAAATATCAAATGACAGACCACATTTACGGTTCACTGCATTCAACCACAGCCACAGATATTTCCTCCTCTTACTCTCTGCTCCATGCAGAGGTTCCTCAGACATCTGCTGCTGTGACCCCACTGATTTATGGGTCCCTAAGCATAATGATTAAAGCAACTTACATGCTTCTACGAATGTGGGCAACTGTTTCTAATCATATTATCAGAGTGAATTCACCCTTGAAATTCAGATCATTTGGTCAAATTAATGACTCCTTTGCTGACAGAAATATTACTTTGACAACAGTTTTGTTGTGCTGTAAAAAAAAAATAAACTGACCAAATTTTCCCCTTTAAGAGTATAGCCAACAGTTTTAACTTCAGACTTTTTCATTTCTAAGAGGTTTAATTATGATTTGCTAAAAAAAGTCACACAATGATGAGTTTTTTTTAACTTTGTCAACTTCACAATACATCTATGGAAACGAGGCCAACATGCCATGTCACTTATCTTACTGATAATGCTGAATATTCAGTAAAGGTGGAAAAATTTTCTGAAGTAGATCAAGGAATCTGTGCTCTCTTAGTTGGAGGTAATTATGGTCCAGACTGGAACAATTAATCAGATTAATCCTGATGAATCAATTGATAAAATAATTTTCAACTAATTTAGCAATTGATTATTCATTAACTGGAGAGATGAAAACTCTAACTATTGCCATAGGAGGAAAGAGTAACCCCCCCAGAGCAGTAATTATGCAAAAATAATAAAAAAATATTTATAAACAATTTCATTTAAGATGGAAAAATTGAAAAAAAAAATTTTGTCTGTGAATAAACTATCCAGAACTCATCAGGTAGCACTTTTAGCTTCACCTGGTTTTGATTCTGCATAAAATATTATTTAATGCACCATTTATTAATCAATTAATTAGATAATTGACCAATTAATCAATTAGCAAAATAATCATTAGATGCAACCGGAGTCAAGACACCAACAACACTTCATTTCATTCACATTTATGCCAAATACAAGCAGTGATGTAAAAAGATATTAGCTCCCTTTCAGTTCAAAAGTTTGTCAGTCTTTCAGATCATCCAAAAACATTTTAATATTAGACGAAGACAACCTAAATAAATGTAGAAAGCAGGATATGATTCTAACCGACCTGGGCCTAGTAATCATGAGCCCCGGTGTTAAATGTGTTCAGGTTCAGTGAAAATGTTTGTAAAAACATGAAGGGTCCTTAATATGTGACATAAATTGAATCAAACTGAAGAAACTCATTAATATAAAACACATATTCAGTCTGAAGAAAGGGTACGAAAGCCTTTTTTAAGGCTTTGGGGCTCCAGCAGAACTACAGTGGGAGTTATTTTTCACAAATGGAGAAGCAATGGAACCCCCCTGCAAAAATTATTCAGAGAGAACGTAGACAACTCATTAAGTAGGTCACAGAGGAATGAAGAACAAAGTTTAAAGCACTGCAGGGATCGCTTGCCTCATTTAAGGTCAACAACTAGAAAGAGGCTGTGCAAAAAGGGCATCCATAGGGGATTTCTGGGGCAACACCAACGCTGGCTGATTAAAAAAGCTCATCTCACATTTGGAGTAAAAAATATCTCGATGGTCCAGTAGAATATTCTTTGGACTGACAGGCAATAAGTTTTTTTTTCCCATCTATTAGAAAAAAAACCCTATCAGAACACATTGTGGGGGTAGGCTAAGTCCTGCTTTGCTCATTGAGGATCAGAAATACTTGCAATAATTGTTAAAACCATGAATTCTACTAGAAGATTCTGAAGGAGAAAACCTGGCTATCAGTCAGTGACAATAATCTTAAGGTTACTTGGCTTTTAGAGCAGAACGTAGATCCAAAGCAAAACAGCAAAGTCACCCAAGGCCCAGAATTCCTCCACAACATTCTAACTCATTGGCAGTCTTCCTAAACACATGGTTGCAGAGGTTGCAGCCGAGGGTGACAAGAAGAGTTCCTTTTTTTTATTTTTCATGTAGGACCAGGTCGGTTTAAACAGCAGCTTAGATAAACTGGTCACTCTTGCCTAATATGATATATGTCTGAATGTTATATCCAAAAACAACTCGACAAAAGGTAAAGCTATCAAAGCAAAGGCATTTCTATTTTCATTTCTTCTTTAAATCCTATTGCAAACAAATTTTATTCTATGCAGAGTGGAAATGTTTGCTATAATCCCCCTCGTCTCTTTTCCAGATGAACCACAGTATGGTGATGAGAACTGGGATCACAGAAGCCTCTCCCTCCATGTTGCTTTGGGCTGAGAGCAGCTTCCACCACTGGCTCTAACACAGCTGGATTAGCTGGTTGGTGGATCAGCAGACAGTGAGCACGAGCAGGTGAGGACAAGGTCAGTGAACAGACACAGACCATTAGTTTTACGCCTGATACATGTGAGCACTGGTAGAGCAGATGCGGTATCGAGCTCAATAGCTTGGCAGTAGCGGTATTTGTGTTTGAATTCCAACACAGTGGATTTTGCTGTGAGCGATGTACCATAATAAAGGGTGTGAATTTCCAAAGCACACAAATTAGTGTAGTGACCCAGCAAAGGTTCAGCACAACCAAAGCAAAGCAATTACCTATAAAGTAGAAAAAGTATCAAAGATCTTTTATCTGGTGCTTCAGAAACTCTTTACATTAAAAAAAAACTATTATAAGGAACATAATTGACATTTACTTTGTCTATTCTTTTTTTTTAAAGCAATTCTAGATCAGTGTTTCTTTGTTTCACGGTCTCTTTCCCAAACTTAGTGATGAAGCTCTATCCGTCCCAATGGCTGTGCTTTTTTAACCTGGTCAAACCAATAAAGGAACTGTTAAATCACTGTGTTTCTTTGGATAGGAAGTAGTCCTGGCTTTTTTTTTTCTGTTTTTAGCCATGAGTTTTCCCCTGAGGGACTCATTGACACAGTGCTTCCTATTTCTTTTTGTAAAAGAAGCCTTTGACTAAGCTATTTCTGTCATTACCCTTAGGTTCTCTGTATTTTATTTTTAATTTCTTCATATTATCCAGTTGTTTTCTGTTCAAAGGCAATTCTTCCCTAAACTTCATATCAACATAACATCATGTACAATCCTAGAAAAAACATTTATGTTGTATAATAAGAATTTACTTTATTTGTAATGTACCTTGAATGAGATGAAATCTCGCTGAGGTCTCCAATGCTTCCCTCTGTCACATGACTAGACATGATGGCTGAAGCAAAGCCTTGCTGTAGGTATAATTTCCCATGATCCTCTTCTGTCATTTCGTCCTCCTGGTGCTCAGAGACCCAAGGGTGTCCCTGGTCCCCGACTCTACCCTGCAGCAACATCCGAGTTCCTGGGGGCACGCAGGGATTAGTGTCTATGCCGCTGTCGGTGGAGGCCCCTTTAATGTAGGTGAGGCCCAGCATCTCTGGGTCCATCAGGTCTCCGGAGCCAAAGTGCTTGTCATCGCTGTTGCTGGAGGCGTTGCTTGAAAGAGTATTGCTACTGGAGTGGCTGGAGTTTTTATCGCCAGTCTGGTAGAGAAGTGAATAAGAACGAATATTGAAATCAGATGAATGCAGATGGTTCTCATACTTATGTTAATATGCCTGCGTAATTTTAGTGTGAAAGCCAACATGGTACAACTGCTTTCAGAGCTAAATGCATTTTCCTGTTGACTTCTTGGTCATCTTTTTACGCTGATAGAGCCAAGCATAATAAATCTGTTCAATTAAATCTAAACAATTCATGGAAGCTCCCTATAAGCCATCAGTTTAAGCCTTAATCTAGAGGAGAAAATACTCTAATTTCTCGTAAGATTAAATTTGGTGCAGTGATCTTTTTGCATAAAATGGAGAACTATTATTTTCCATATAGTAATAAGAACCATACTATACTTCATTCACTCTGGGGAAACTCTTTGTGATCCAGCAGAGACCATTGACACCCTACATAACTTTCTATGGTTGAGGTGGGGTTCTAATGCTGTAGATTACTGATTAAAACTTTCCCTAATGGAGGATAATGGATATCTCAATGTAACAAAAAACATATATGTTTATGGGATTGATTTAAGTTCACTAAATTAGGTAATTCAAACCACAATAAACCAAAAGCAGTTGGAGAAACTAGCAAATACATCAATGAAAATGGTGCCATGGGGATGATGAATTTTTCACGCACAAACCCTGCGCTAATGCAAACATGGCTTAAAGCATTAACTGGCAGAAAGGTGCAGTTAGCTGAAAAGGGGAAAATACTGAAAAAAAAAAAAAAAGGATAATTTTGGGGGGAAAAAAAGGTAGTCAGGATGAAAGCTCTTACAATAACTATTTTAAATAAAATTTGCCTTTCAAATGGTGATGGGATGAGACATCTGACAGTTTGCTGGTAAAGGATATGCAGCAACTGGAAAAGGTAAAATAATAACATGTCTAAATCAAACACATATGTGTTTTTGAGCAGGTGTGAGACTGCTGTACAATGCTGGGTGGAACAAATCTCCACTGGAAACAGAGTCTGCAGGAAACATTCAATTTAAATAACCTAAAAAGCCTTTTAAAATGCATGGAATGCTGAGATTTGACCTTTCAAACATATTTAAGCATCACCCACTGAACCCACTTAAAGCTTCCCTAACTGACCCATTAGATTTGGCATTTTAACCTCGTAAATCTGTTTCTTTACCAAATTAGGCTTAAGTAATATGTTCTCAGTGATGCATCAGGGCCAAATATTTTGAAATGTGTTTTTTTGGTAATGTAGAAATCTTTTAAACTGATTCATAAATAGTTTCTTTTAAATGGAATAAAAAAGGTTAAACTCCTAAATGTATGGATTTTTATTCAAGGGATCAATCAAGCAATAAACTAACATTTAATCTCAAGGATAGCGAGTTTACATTCTGCCAACTGCTGAGGAAGTTATGCTCTAAAACTTAAACAAAAGACAAACAAACCTTAGAACCAGCCAGAGGACTTACCTAGCTGAACCAGAACATTTGGCTGAATGAGCCAGATTTATTTATGCTAAATGAGTTTTCTGCATTGTGTGCTTTGGTATGCTTGTCTAGTTGCTTTGTGATGTTGATACGTGCTTTGTGTCACTGATTGACCTTTTAAAAGCATTTTCTTTTTCCTTTTTAGATTCAGTTTGTTTCAACAGAGTAAAATCAACCATCAGGGCTGAAAAACAACCATTCCATCTCGCTACATCTCAGCAATCCATCTTAAAACAACCAGATATATGTTGAGAGTTATGGTATCAGAAATGAAGTTTAATTGACTGCAGTCAGGTTCATGTAAAGGAAACATGCAAGATCCAGATATCTGGAAGGTGTTCTGCTTCTTCCACTGAGAGTTTTCTGATTGTGGTGGAATTTACTTTAAAACTGGTTCAGAAAATTTTAATCTTATTTTTTTCTCTTCTAAATTATTCTGTCTTAGGTTAACCAGAGACACCAACTTCAGAATTATGCCGAAAAATGTCTTACTTTAAATGTCTGAAACATAGTAAATTGATTATTGTAGTTACACTTTCAACAGACTTTTATTTTGAAAAGCCATTTTGTTGTGTTTTGTTTGTGTTTCAATCTGTTGTACTTTTTACATAATTAAACCATTAGAAAGAATAACGGTTTAATTCAGCAAAAAAAAATCTTTGATTAAAAATTAGAACTTGGTGTTATTAAATCAATGTTAACAGGGGAACAAAAATCACAAACTGTCATTCATTCATGGAAATCATTTGATGGGATATTCAAACAATTCATCTTTAAGTCCAGATTCCCAAAAGTACGGAGCAATGTTTTAAATTAGATCAAATGTCATGCTGTCATCTCAGTCCACCTAAATAGTTGAAGAAGAGACATTCACCCTAGAAAGCTTGTTTGGAGAATCCTTCCCTCCTTCCCTTTGCTTCAGAGGGTTCAGGATCTTAGTGGAGGGGATGTGCCATTTGGCCTCTGTGAAGAGTCATAATAAACAGTATTCAAAGGCCAGTAAATAAACAAAAACCAAAATTTATAATAAAAGCCCAACATTGGTTTGCTTTCACTATATTTTTTTATGTAACATGCACTTGAATTGCATCGATGAAGATATTAGATTCACCAGCAGATCTTGTCCTCTCCAGGGTAGGCTCCCTCTCCCTGCGGATCTCTCCGTCCCCTCCTTGGATGTCGCCTGCCCGCTCATGCAGTATAGGGGAGGGACACCTGAAAAAAACCCCCACAAAAAATAAAAGGGCTTCAAATAATTTTCAATCTATTGTGTGGGCTTTGTTTTCTGATCAAAGAAAAGCTTCAAAAGCCCTACCGCGGATTTAAAGCAATTAGCTCAAGTTTCTTTAAGGTCAAATCACTTGAGCTTATAAAAGAATAAAGAAGCTGCCAGAAAGCACTGACAAGAGACCCGTTTTCATTCAGCTCTACATGCCAAGCTGTTCCTTGCTCTTGACAAAGGGGAAAGAAAATCAGATTTTTCAATGCAGGTCTTAATTAACGCTTCAAGGGCTAACAGGGGTTAGCTCAGATGAACAGGGGGCAGGGTGTCTCGTTATCTTTAACAAAGACTCTAACTGGAGATCAGTGGTACAGTTTGTGGGTCTGCAGTGGAGCAGCTCTGAAAAGGCTCGGTGGTCTTCAACGGTTCAGAGCACCTTAGAGGCCAATGGCAGACCAGGGTCTGAAACATTTATACACAGAAGTATGTATAGTAGTGGAGTCCCTTAAGCCCTAACAATGTCAGTCTGCAGCCCCAGATGAAACCATAAATAATATATATTCAAACTGGTATAAGGAAAATAAGTCATGTAACATTCTGCTCAGAAATATACAATTATAATGGGCATAAATCTGGCATTAAAGTTTAGTTTAGAATATAAAACAGTTTTCACAAGGATGGAAAATCATTCTACGGTATATCCCTTTAGAATAGAATAGAAATTAACTGACCCACAATGGGAAAATTCTGATGTTTACAGCAGCAAAAAGATTATTAAAAAAAATGGTTGCACAACTATTGACCTTAGAAAAATGTATAAGAATGACATAATAGTGAAGAGTTAAAAGATAAATAATAAAATACTGCACTAAAAAGTGTTTTAACAATATAAAACTGTGCACCTGGAGAACGAATAACTAATATACACATATGGACATTTTTACAGTATTGGATATTTGAAAATAGCAGCAACATCAGAGATGTGCAAAAATGACAGCAGCATGTTATTTAACTGACTAAGGTAGAAACGTACCTCACTTTGACTTAAGCTGTCGCTTTAAGATGAAAGAAAGGAATCTAAAACTCCAACTCTACAATCTGCACCTTCAGCATAGACTTAAATTAACATTTAGCCCCTATGGTTAACCCAAAGATCCTCTGCAAGGATCTATTGGGCTCTAAGTATAAAAACACTGATCCATTTGATGACACTGATAAGATGTATTTTTGAAGAAATGTCAGTCATGATGGTGGCATGTTCCTTTTCCTCTGTTTCACTAAAACAGACTATAAATAAATAAGAATATAATTTCATTAATTGTACTCTAACTCCACATAGAAACCATATAGGATGAAAAAAACCTTTTAAAAAAGCATGTCGCAAACCCAATGGGACAATTGTAAAGGTCAAGTCTGAACCAGCAAAACAACTAAACTAACTATAACAACTCCACAAAAAGCAGAGGGATCCTAGGATAGTATTATGTCAAAAACTTGTTTTTTAACAGCCATATTGTTATCATTGTATGTAATATATAGCTTATAACATATTCATGTGGATGTTTAGTGGAAGTTAGATTCTAATGTTGAAAATAGACAGAGGAAGATGGATTGATCTTGTTTGTCACCGACAAGATGATTCAGAGTCATAATCTTAAAGAAATATACTAAGATAAGCTGTATCGAGTAAGATATATCTATATTTAAGACAGCCTAAATACTAAAATGAAATTCTATGAAATATAACCTGCTCTACTAAGGTGTTGAGCTGAAGCAAACGCATCATAACAATTCTAGTAGATTATTTCCCTTAAGAAATATGTTGCAACAAAAGTGCACTGATGATTTGGTCATTTCTTGCAGAAAAATTGCCTTCATCTTTGTAAAATTGCCAGGGCTTAGAAATGGTGCAAGCACTGATTGAAGCTGCATTCACAACAGCAAGAAAAAGAAAAAAAAGACTGAATCATCAGGGGGGGACCATTTTATACAAAAAGGAAAAATAACTCATTTATGCTCTTTTTACCCGTCGTATCCAGGCTGCTGGGACCAGTTGCTGCTGCCACATGGTCCAGGATCGCTGGAGGAGGATTGGTTACTGGGGGAGCTGCGGTAGTGCTGGTCTCCCTTGTTGCATATAGTGACCTGGGGATTCTCCATGTCCTGCAGAGTCCTGTAAAAACATACACATAAAATAAGTACAAAGAGTATATTTCTCATTGAAACTTTGGATTCTACATTTCATCTTAGTCTGCTAATGTCCAATTATTTTTCTAAGTGACATAGAAGATAATCATCTTGGCACTAATCCACTGTCCTTGTATTTCTATTCATCAAAATTATAAGCAAAAGCTGTTTAGGCTGTACCTTGAAAAATGAATTACCCACACATTTACAACGCTATCACTGGGTGTCGCAGCAGAAACTGGTTCCTTTACATAAGCGCCGGGGATAATCTCCACAAAAAATGTTAAGAGCTGTCAGTAATGGAGAAGACGTTTTTTTCTTATTCTCCAAAGACAAACACAAAAGAGATTAGTTCTGGTTATAAGCTGCTGAAAGTAATCCAGATGGTGACTCCCTGTATGCATGTAGCATGAGGCTGAAATGAGAATCTATATTTACACATGTGTTAGATTTGTTGAAAAAAACTAACAGCACATGGACCCAACAATCCAGTCTGGCCGTTTAATTTAATACTGTATTTATTTTTTTCTGCGTGCAACTTAACTAAAGGTATAATCACTCATATTGCCATGCACTAACTTTTTCTAGAAAACAAAAACACGTGGATATGATGCATTAAAGACTTCTGGAGTACTCCAGCATTCAGTACCATGCAACAATGGTTGACTGAATCTAGGCTGAAAACAGAAAAATAAGTTTTATCCAAGAACAAATAATAATATTCCTGCTCCTATCTCACTTCATGCAGAATATACATTAGGATAATAGATCTCCCAGCTCATTTGCTGCATTAAACATGCACAGAGGAGATATTAAAAAGGAGAATAATTTTATAAGGATTATTCAGCTTTATTCTAAATAAAACACCTCAGTGTGTGACTGTCAATAAAATGACGGACTATTTCTCTGCAGCCCTAATTAAAGAAACAAGGACCTGTACAGGTCTGTGGCTCAGTGATTGGGGACCACAGCAGGGAAGCAAAGGAACACAAAGGTCTAGCCTACATGAAAAACCCAGTTTTAGAGAACTAATACTATAAACACAAGGTCCTAATGGGGGTGGCAGCATCAAGCTGTGGGGATTTATTTATCTGAATAAATCCTGAAAGAAGACCTTTTAGAAGCTGCACAGGAGGTTTTATGCTAGGAGGTTAATCTGCCAGCAGGACAAAGGCCTTAAATATACAACTAGAGATAGTATAGAAGAGCTGGTTGGATATAAACCCAGACTGTTTGGATTATTATGGAGAGTTTGTGGGTCTGTCTGTCTGACAGATCAGTCCAAGGAACAACCCAATCAATTTTATTGATGATCCGGATCCCAATCTGGATCCAGGGATATTTTGATAGATTCTGTGAAAACAGGTATTACGGTAACTTAAGGTGGAAGTGACAATATGTCGGGGGAAATGAGCTACTTGGCGGAGGTCTGTGCTCTCCGAGTGCTAGTTAAAAGCCTCTACCTGTATTGTGTTCATTTACAGACATCCCAAGTCTCCCGGAAATTCCGGGAGTCGGATAAATTATCCCGGATTTTAGACTATGGGAGGTGGTGTTTTTTTAATGCTAGTGCAATAATTCATGCATCATGTGCAGATTAGAACTACTTCGATTGCGCAGACAACAAGAGAGAGCGGGGTGTGGGGACGAGGTTGCTGGTGAAACCTGTGCAGCGTATCAGTCCAAAGTGATGCTCTATCAAATTTGAATTAGAACTCAAGAAAAACTGTTAAATTCATCTGTAAAAATGAGAGGATTCTTTTTATTTAAAAACAGAAAGCACAAGGCTACAAGATTGAAGGTATTGAAAATAAAAGACCAATACTGTTCTGTGTTTAAGAAATTACTGTTTGTTAATTAACAGTTGTTGAGAAGTTGCTGGCCTTAAGTGTGTATGTATGGGGCACGGTGCGGCAGGTGTATGAAAACTTCTACAATATACCGTCCACATATACACAGTACAAGCATACTTTATTTAAGCTGGAAGAGCACTTTAGTTACCAGAGAGAATAACGAATTAGTTCTGCTGTCATCTCTGCTCTCCTTTTGTCTGAGACTTTTACGAAAAAATAAGCCGTCACAACTAAATCCCTACACACATCATCAAACGCATTAGTTTGATCGCAACATTTCCTCTCCTCCGCTGAGTCCTGGCGCTTTAATTTGAAACAGCAACATCTGCTTTTTTGTTCTTCTTTCCCTTCTCCCTGGAGATAAGATGTCTGAGGAGGGGGATATCAAATGCAATATTCTTCTCTGTGGTGCAATAGCGTCTGAAGGTGCACTCTGCTTTTGTAGCCTTGATTTTTTTTTTCTTCTATAGCACCAATTCTGGATTCCAGCCTTGGATGGGATTATTTTTTTGGGGGGGATGGTTTAAGATGTGGGTCCTTCCTCAAAAGGCACCTGAGCGATACCTCCTGCCAAGTTTGTGTCATCACTTATAATTAAGGGAGATAAAAAGTTGCACATATAAAGCTTTTCCTGGTTTGCTAATACTTTCATTGCCATCTAGATCTAATGATTTCAGTCGTCTGCGCAGCTTCTGCACACTTAAAATGATTGAGAGTCATCACCAAACATTAAGTCTTCTTCTTCCTCAATTAGTCAAACTATTAAAAGAAATGACAACATAATTTATGTTGATTTATGCCTGTAGAATATGCTCCTCTATAATAACACCCCTTCGTTCTTCCTCTCGCTCCCTCTGCCACCAGCACTCCCTCTGAGGCGCTTCACGTCGTGGTCTGAGGAAGAGCGCTGTCTTTGTTTCTAGAGTAATTGGATGAGATGAGCCGAGCCGTGTCAGTGTCCCTATCACCTCCTCCTCAGCAGGGTGCAAGGAAGAGGGAGGGAGAGCAGAGGAAAGGGAGCCAGGGAGAAAAAGGGAGTTCTCCCACTTCCAGAAAGCCTGATTAGGCAGAGAAGGCGGCCATTATTAAAGTATAGTCAGAACAGGCAACACCAGGGGGGGTCGGTGTGACACACTGGAAAGGTTATCATGACTGTAGGGGTTTCATTAGACTGAACAAATCACTGCTTTACATGGTTCAATGGAGATGTCCAGAATAGGACAGGAACAAAGTCTAAATGTGGCCTTATCATCTCAAGGGAGATGAAAGCAGAGCTGTGAATTCATTGGACTAAAATGTTCTGTTTATACATATGTAAATAAGGGAACACAATAAAAGCTCCTAGAAGTATCCCTGTGGCTCTTTTCAAAATGGTAAACAGAGTTCAAAGATTTTTCTCACAAAAAGACAGAGGGTGGTGATGTTTGATCACAGTTTTTATGAAAACCCATGAGGCAAAAATGTCTTAAAAGCTTTGTTTCCTCTCTTGAGTGATCTATAAAATTTTACAATCTCCCAGTTGTTGTTGTTGCTTCTCCACTATCTAAATAGGAGGATTAACAATAACTTATTGTCATCATAGCTTCACTAAAGGAGATGAAAGTTTCGGTATGGAAACAAACCTTTTATTTAGGAAATGTCCCTATCAGTCAGTTGCAGTTGCAGCAAAGGATTCCAGATTTCAAATCAATGTCATTATACTTTTTCATTAATTTAAAGCATTTTAATAAGGCAGACCTCCTGGGCACTGCTCATCTGCTGGCTTAAAAAAGTATGTTACAGCTTTCCCTTGTCTATGAGACAAATTCAGTTGCTTGTAAAAAAAAAAAAAAATAATAATAATAATGATAAAGAAAAACACGGAGAACGGAAAGACCTTTTAAAATGACAGAAATTTGCAGGTGTTTAATATTGTGGCTTACATTCACCGATCAAAAATAGCAATTCTGGGCATTTTAGAATAGAATTGAATGGAAAATCCATTTATTGTCCCACCATGGGGAAATTCTGTTGTTTACAGCAGCAAAAAGATTATAGAAAAAATGGTCACACATTTTGATTTGGAAACTGTAAAAAACATGATATTGAGCCCAGACCTGATTGAGGAATAGCGCACATAGAATTTAGTTAAAGAGTTCTCAGCTTTCAAGAAACAGCCATTAATAAAAAGAACTTAAGGATTGGCCATATTCACAAACCTGAATGGCTCTGTGGAGGATCAAGAGGGAATCTTACAGTAGGAACAACAACAAAAAAGTTCAGTAAATTCAAAACATAAAACTATGATCTCTCCATGCTAAAATTTTACCAGGAAATGTAATAATAACAATGGAATATCATTGGTACACAGACAGGCAGGTGCCTTGGGCATGCATAACACTGAGACCCGAGTCCTGCTTTAAAAAGATAAAAGAAAAACATCCCATCTGGTTTGAGATGAAAACATTCTCTTGTGTTATTTTTAGCACTTTATATTTACCTGGAGCCATCTGGCAGCTTCCTATCAAAGGAAGTGCTTCGTGGGATAACTGCCTGGTGCTGCTGGAGGATCTGCTGGCACTGCAGGCGGTCAGGACCCTGAGTGGGCGAGCCCCGGGACAGCGGCGCCCCTGCAGCTGCAGGCACCCGATGCCAGGTGGTGTTTCTTCTGAAGGGCGTCTTGTACTCACAAGGCTGGCCCTCGCTGTCGACCTTGTACTCCACCATCGGTATCCGGTAAAGTTCGGAACAGCCCCTGGGGGAAAGAATCAAAAATGGCAAAAGGTTAAAGATTGTCCACATACTGCATTACAGGCTATGGTAGGAAACACAGCATTTAATCTCCTGAGTTTTACCAAAAAGCCATAAAAATGACATGAAACATAATCTTTGATGCACATTTTCTATGATTCGATATCATTGTCTTGCATATCAATTAACCTGTCTGTATAATATGCAATGTTTAGATTAATATTTAGACTTAGAGGTAAACATAGACATAAAACCATGTTAAATATTTAGCAGTAGTATTCATACTCTTTGACCTTTTCCACATAGACACACAAAAGTATTTATCCATTTTTTTTTATTATCTAAGAGCAAATAAAAATGAATGCATATAGGGGAAGTAGAGAGAAAATAATGGGCTTCTAGAACCTGTGTGTGGGTAAAAAATTTAGGAAGTAAAACATCATAATGTATATTGTCTGCAACAGAGCTTCCATCCCTTGCAGTGTGGCACCTTAGTTTACAAAAAAAGGGGGAAATTAATGCAAACACACCCCATATCTATCAAATTTTCTTTCTTGTTACTGGGAATACTTTATTCTAGACTATCAAAAGAGATATCTATAAAATATTGTCTATAGTAGGGCTGCAACTAACGATTATTTTAAAAATCGATGAATCGGCCGATTATTTT